TCTCGTCTGTAAAGGCTTTTTGGTCACATGACCATAACATTGGTCATATTGCGTAGATTAGCAGTAATGTCCCTTGTTCAACAACTTTATTTGAATAAAAAAAAACGAAGTAACCAAATATGGCAATCTTAAAACTGTGACATTTATTAGCAAAACTCGTGGATATAGAAACATGCAAATAGCATATTACTTCGACTCTTGAAAAAAAAAACACTAAATATACCACATTCCACAAATTTAACAGAAAACAAAAATAGCTTAGTTGTAAGGTACATACGAACCGCCCTAAACAGGTACGCAACGCAAGGCGACCTCTCATAAATCCTTCCTACAATATAAAATAAATCCGCCAGAGCTGAGCAAATTTTTTTTTTTTGTTATATAGACGTTTCCCAATTAATTATTTAAAGTCTAATCACCTCTTTTGCAGGTGAACTCAAACAACAATTAAAACTTTTTAACGTAGAGAGTAAACTGAGCCCTACTGTTTGTCTGTGCGTAAGGTATGGTATAATAGCACCAATGTTTATTAAGTGCACAATCTTTGAACGCACTTTCTTTCGTTGCCTTGCTTGTAAGTTTATGGAGTGGTTTTGTTATGCTGGTGTAACGTTTGATGAGATTCTTCTGTGTTCCCCTGTTTAGGGTGAGTATTTAAGGCATTACTGCATTTCGCAGTTTTGGGACTAGAACTTTCAATTTGTCTTTTCTTATGTCTCTACAGGAAGTTAGTTCTGGGATTGGAGTTCTACACTAAATACTAGATCTAGATTCAGCAGTGTGTTTTGTTGTGATTGCGAGCATTTATGTGTCAATTTGTCGGACAGCAAGGTGTAGAATTACTGCTTAATTAATATATCCACAATATTAGAATGTTTCAAATGCAATGTCACTACTCCATCAGTTGTCATCATAACTTATATTCATATCAATAAACAATTACATTGTCAACAGTGAATCACTTATTTATTTGTAAGCACGAAGGTGCCTGTTGAATGTCAGGGGCCCGGATAAACGAGCTAAGGCCTTAACACAACCCTGACACTGTTCAGATTGTCATGTTTATAAAGACAGAGCAATAAAAGGTCGGATCTGTGCAAATTAAATTTTAGTTTTGTCATATGGAAACTTGTCCTGCATCCAAAGCAATCCTCAAATAATTCATTGAACTCATCTCATCAATGGGAATATAACAAAATATAATTTAATTTACACAGCGCTATCAACAAACGTAATAAAGGTTTCAGGCGGTTAGGATAACGCTTATACGTAAACACAAACATTTAAAATATGAACGAATAAAAAAAAGTATTAATATTGATAGTGCTGTACCATAATGTTTGTCTTTGTCAAAGTAGGAGGAACCCCTCGGTACTATAAAGGCACAAAGGCTGAGCTGGTTTTGTCATATTGTTAGAAAAGTGTCACTGACAAAGTCATCATTGAACATACAGAAGTTATGAAAGCTAGAACGCTACATGATTGACCTAAAGCAGTTAAATGGCTTATCTCTTGTTTTTTTGTTTTTGTTATGTTTTTTTTTTGCAAAGAATACAAGAACATATATGTCTCTTATTTACATTCACATCTGCATTAATTTATGGATATACTTATGACGTGATTATCTTGTTGGGACGTAAGTATTTTATAAGATAATATATTTTTAAAAATTAAGAAATGACACTAGAATTCAATTAACCGCCAAAAGACACAAGCCATACAACAAACACTATTAAGAAACGGGTGATTTTATTGCAAAATCAACCCTACAGACATGATGAATGTTTCAAATGTTGACGACATAGTAATAAACATATTTAACATTATGTCTCGCATATTAAAACTACAGTTTGTGTACTGCATTATTCCTTAACTCTTTCTCTCCTAACTGACGATGCCAGCGTTGATTCCACCAGCATGTGGTAAATAATTACGGAGAGAAAAAGTTAAAGCTGTATTAATTATGGTTATTTACTCTGTATGAATTGGCAGACGTTGCGCACCTTGATTAATTTTTTCTCAGTAGTTTGTTTTTGTTTTTTTTTTCAATTTGATGTCTATAAATATCTACTCTATGTGTAAAATATGTTGTGTTATTTTGTCGTCTGCGATTTTGAAGCGTATTTCGTTACGCTGAATCCCCAGACGTTTTTTTTTTTCGTGCTTTGTTATATAAACTTATCCTCAAGTATTTCGCCTCAGTGAAATACAATAATAACCAAATAATAGTATTTCTGTCCTTGAGTCTTTGTAGTGTTATGCGCAGTCCTAGCGTTGACCTGCATATTGTGCCACACTTATTAAATGCATATTTAACGCATATCTAATAGTCTGCATAAGGACTTTATTGTGATTTCCTTCCAATATGTAACAAAGATCGGTTAACTACTACCCTCCTCCCCTAAAATTTGTGTGATAGTCACAGTACATATATGTTACAAAGCTTTTATCAACTTTCTATGTCTGTCTGGTATAAACTTTGTACATGTAGTTTCTTCCTCACACAATCTCGGAGCAAGCTGAAATTGTGCACCATTTATTCTTGTACCCAATAAAACTAGAATATTTTTTTTTAATTAACTACAGGTAAATAATTAATTTGTTTTATTATCTCCAACAAAAGAAAGGAATCGTACTTGTCTGATAAGGTGGTATACGTTGAATTAGTCCCCTTTATACTTTGCTTTTCAGTTCGAAAATAAACATTTCCTTTCCACTAGGACTAAAACAGAAAGATTTAAAAACTCCTTTATCCCACTGTCGGTCAGAGTGTTACAAGATCAGCTGTCGTCATCGAGAAGTTCATAGAAGTCTAATTCATAAAGTGCTGGTTGTGAGTGTGTATGTGTTTCGTGTGTGAATGTTGTTCGAATTTTTGATCCATATTGTTTTTGTAAAGTAGTTACGCTGAGGTTGTCATTGTAGTCAAACTGAATTTCTATTTGATTGGATCAATAAAATTATCTTATCTTATCTTATCTTAACAATAGATAATTTTAAAACCTTCTATTTTCATAAGCACTTCTCTAGTACAGTGGTTAGAGTGTTGGTTTGAGAAGGCTAGAGCCCTCTAGTTTCAATCCAGGTCGTTCGACGTATTACATGTTTTTATTTATAAATGCATTTTAAAAGCGATCACGGAATTATTTAAACAGATACCCCCTTCTTTCTCCCCCCTACCCCTTTTCAACAGGTCCAGACAGGTGATAGGATCATAGCGTATTGAGAAAGTTAAAAGCATGAAATTGCGCTAAACAGAAACAATTTGTAAACATATTTTTAATAGCACAGAATATTATTTTAGTCTAGATCTATTACTAATTGAATTACATAACTGATCCAAACTAATGGCTTCGCTTAATATAAGCTTTTTTTTTAAAAAGTATTTTTTATTTGTATTTTCTTGTTTGAAAGGCCTTTGAGAGTTAAGACGTCAAAAATATTTATTGTTTAGTTTACTGATCATTAACATATTTACATCATTGTAATACGTATCATTATCAATGTTTGACAATTACACTTGCACTGATTGAAGTTCATTTAAAACAGTAATACACCTCAAACATAGAGGCCTAGACTACACATTGCACATGATGAAAGTAAATTGCGAACGTAAGTTAACGTCACGCTAAATAAACAAAGATATACACATGATTCCAAATTTGGTAATAAGTTTAGAATACGTTCCTCTTGCACGTCAGATAATGTCCATCTTAATCTTTTCTTTTTGGATGTCCTGGCTTCTTGGTTATTTCTGTGTTATACACTGAAACGAAAAAACAAAAAAAAACAAATAAGTTTTGTCGTCGAGTCTGAAGATTAATGAGGAGTAGCAGTGGTTCAGGTGGCAACGACGCCCCGGTATGGTATAACCATTGTTATTGTAGAGTGATATCCTATCTATATCCTTCTACAAGATTTAAACAAGTGCAGTTGTACGGATTTAAAAAAAAATTTTTTTTTCATTTCGTTGGTATGCCTTATTAGAGGACACAATACAAAGTCTTTAAGAACTCAAAATTAGACAAAACAAATATTTACCAGTATAATCCATACGATCACCCAGGGAAAGAAGAACAGACTAATACAAAAGTGAAGGCAGTGATTAACTCCTCTTCTGAAAAAAACAACAACAACAACACATGTAAAATAAAAACATTATGATTATATGTATTTACATATATTTTACATAATAAATGTATAGCTGCTAAGTCATTAAATTTTTTAGCTGATTCAGGGAATGCGTTAGAAGCTCTTATATTACAAATAATGAAATTGGAACTTACACGAACTAGTTCTATAGTAAGTCATATTTATCTTTGTCTTTTTGAATATATGTATATATATATATATATATATATATTACAATTGTGCAAGTTAGGATTAAGAGTTGATACAATGAATGAGAGTATTGTGATTTTAAAAAATACCCAAAAACAAAAAAATGATAAAAACCCAACTCACTTTTCAATCACAATGGTTTGAGCAGGAGCTCCGCCGCCCACAACGACAATATTGTTGTTCTAGAAGACAAAACAAAACAAGAATTTAATTGCTTTACATCTCATAGGGGTTCCGCAAGGTTGTTAACGCCGGAAGTGGTAATGGTCTTAAGCCCATCATTACCTATAAAGTGCTTCCAATGGCACGCGTCTCAAATAGCCTCTGACAACCAGTCCAACTCCTGGCCTTCACGTGTGGCTCAGTTACTGAGCCTGGCGGAACCGTTACCACAGACAGGAGAAGTGGCAAAGGCGAGCAACTGGCGCCTAAACCAGTAACCTTCGGGGAGGAGGGGCTCGTTAGCCTTGGTTGGCTACCCATCTAGGAGAAGGAAAACTCGGAATCCAAACCTCAGCTGCCCTGCGGCAATACCCAAACACGGGAAAGGCTTCGGGAGACAACCCTGAGGAAAAATCTGGAGCTGGTGACCCTTAGGCAAACTGTGGCACACCGTACTACAGCCTGGGAGATCCTTTGGTCACATCAGCTGCGCGGAGAGGGGGGGGGGGGGAACTGCTCTGTGGGCGACATCGTTCCGACCATAAACAATGCCCAGGCTTTCATCTCACTCTCTGAGATGAAACATAGTCGTTCTAAGACTGGAGGAGGCTAATGATGATCTCATAGGTCAGTGACTGCAGTGCACTCCAGGCAATAAAACATACAACACTGAAGCATAACCTACTAATACAAAAACAACATCTCGTTTTATTCTCAGAAAGACGCGAACAAGGAAATACACTTACTATTCCGTGTGCGAGGATAAATTCATTCAAGTGCTCCTTCTTCCCTAGTGCTGTTAGAACAGGGGTTCTCAACCTGTGGGTCGCGACACCTTGCAGAGTCGATTGACGATTTGTCAGGGGCCGCCTAAGACCATTGAAAATATGGATTGTATTTTGTCTATTCTTCTAAAGCTGTGGGGGTTGGGGTCGCAGCATAGTGGGGGGTTGTAAATAGGGGTCACCGAGGATAAAAGGTTGAGAACCGCTGTAATAGAACATGGAATGGGTTGCCTAAATCAGCCAGGAAAAACGACTTTGTAAAGTTTATTGTTGGACATGAATGACTAGATTAACATACCCCTACTGATTACGTGTAGGAAGTAATTATCTTCAATTTTAAAACATCTCTAATTTATAAGAAAGGATAAGGTAACACTTTAAAAAAATAAAAATAAAAGCGCTATATGATGGTTCAATGCAAAAAATAATGTACGTGGGCGGATCTTAAGATTCAGTAGAAATAATTTGAATTTCAATAGGTTGTCTTTCTTTTCTCTTTTATTCTCCTTCATATTTAGTAGCCATTACTGCACATGCTCCAAATATAACATTTCCCTTCTCGCCTCTTTCTCTGTCTCTTTCTCTCTTCTTTAACGAAGCCTTTAGGACAGAAAACTCAAAAGTAAAGTAGCAATTATGCATAAAACACTGAACCATATACTTGAAATACAAAAACATAATTTAATAAAATACTCTGAAAGACACAAAGATGCACACTACGCGCGCGTTCTATATGCTAGGACAAATTTGTACAAATACTCCTTCTTCCCTAGTGCTATTAGAGCATGGAATGGGTTGCCTGAGCTAGCCAGGAAAACCATTGAGTAGGCAGAATGTAAGTCATTATATGCATGACTAAATGCATGACGCGTAGGACGTAATCATCTTCTTTTTTAAGAGTAACGTCTTATATTATATAAGATAAGTTAAGAAACACATAAAAACAACGACAGTGTTTCCAAAACTGTGTTCCCGAGCCCTAGGTTTTCCGCAAGGCCTGAATAAGTGTTCCTCGAGCTACTGAAATAATGAACTAGAAGGACGCTACGTGAGTTAATGTCTCTAAAAAAAAATTAAGCAAAGTAATTCCCCTTTTAACACTCAGAGTGTGCGAAGTGTTGCCGGCCTTTCCGTAAGGGAAACACTTCTATAATGGATCAGCTAAATGCTGTATTTTGACCCAAACTTTGTCTATACTACCCCTTCCTACCCCCATGACCCTTTCTGGATTTCCCCGTTAAGGAAATGCCATTGAATCCCTTTCATTTTTTTTTCTTTAGGATTGAATGGTTGCCTGGTCGTGTGCTATGTTTTCTCGGGCTGTCACCACGACGGTTCCGAGTTCGAATCTTGTACCTACGCATTCCTTACCGTCTAGCCATAGGCTTGGACTAGAAGGAACTAAGCTTTAAAATATAAGCAAACCATTTGGCCATTTCTTGAATATACGAATATTATTAATATAGACTATATTTTTAGCATCATTTAGATCATAAAAGTAAAGTATAAAATATATTTCCCCTTTCAGACCTATAGGGCAGATTATTCTAAAGTCATCTGTTTCATTGAGCAACGCTTAAGGAGCAGGGTGTCATGTGGCCAGCACAACAATCAACCCCTTTCACTTCCCCCAACTAAAGTCAGGTACCCCTTAGAGTCAGGTGGGCCCAGAGCGCCCTAAAAGTACCGAAAATAAAAATCCGATTCTTCACTGAGATTTGAACCCATGACTCCAGGTTTGGAAGACATACGCTCAACCACTCAGCCACCAATGGACCTCATTCATCAATCGTAAATGTGGCTAAATGTGTTTATTTACGATTGGTGAATGAGGTCCATTAGGGTCATACTATATATATTATAAAAATATTATAAACCACATTATAATTAATATTTCCAAAAAAAAAAAAAAAAAAAAAAAAAAAATAAATAAATCTACACTCACCGAGGAGCTGGACTGTTGCTGTTGAGGCATGGGAGGGTAATAAGCTTGTGGGGGAGGGGCGCCATATGCGGGAGGATTCATCTTCTCTACAAATTAGCCTGCATGTTTATAAATGAGAAAATAATTAATCAGCACATGCACAATTAGTAATTATACACAATGTTATATGAGTGAAGAGGTTTATAACAAGAGAATCATTCTTAGGAGTAGCTTGTTATAGGATTGTATTAACTCTTTCTTCCCTAATTGACGAAGCCAACGTTGATTTGACCCCATTAAACTAAATAGATTTTAGGAGCTATATACTTTGGTTTGTGTTATGCAACAGGAACTCGCACTCCCCTACAATTAAATACCAACTATAACATTTTCTGATAACAAACCAAAAAAGTTATTGAAGTTTAATCCTAACATGATAGTGAAATACAAATGAGCAAAATAAATTATTGTATCGAAAAGAAAATGATAATTACAGAGAGAGAGAGAGAGAGAGAGAGTTAAAACAGAATCTTAAACCTTTACAACTAAAGATTTGTAATTCTAAGTAATTATAACCATCGGCGGACTGGGTGTCAAAATGGGCTCTGGAATTTCTATATCATCCGGCCCTTAATGTGTATATTTTATGAACGACATCCTATTCTACCAGTCCTCAAAATCATTATGTTAAGTTTGATAAACTACCCCTTTCATATCTTGCTATATATAGGGAAGATGATGTAGAGGTCATCTGTTTCTGTAAAGGTCATCTTTTTTTTCGTAGCCCACGGTTTAAGAGGGTGTCATGTGGCCAGCACAACGACCGACCGCCTTTACCTTTCCCAAACTAATGTCAGGTACTCATCAAAGCTAGGTGGACCCCGAAATTAGAACCTCAGTCTTCACCAAGTTTTGAACCCGGGACCTCTCGGTTCGTAAGCCAAGCTTTTTCAATCAGCCATCGCGCCTCTTGTCTATGGGTGAAGGTTATTACATTATTCCGGAAATGATGTATTAAATTAGAGTCTGTAAAAGATTTTTTTAAAAAACCCGACAAGGGTTAATTTTATAAGAGAGTATTATAAAGCCTTATAAAGAGTAGGGCCTACGTGTAAAGGTGGCCTACGTGCGGCCATTTCGGTGGCCAACAGGCCCATTTGGAAACCAGCCCACCGGGCATATGCCCGAATGCCCATATAGCCAGTGCGCCCCTGATTATAACATAACGAACAATATCACGAATAAAACTCCAAAACGAACTGATCTATGAGTACAATACACAATTTTTGTAGGAAACTGTATTAAATTAATATTCAGTCTGCTGTGATGACTTTCAGGTGCTTTCTATAAAAAAAAAGAAGTCACTGAAACGATATAAAAAATGAAATAAGTTTTTCTTTTAGTAATTAAATACTTGAATAAAATAAAATTTTCGAATATTAATTCCACATGTCAGGTTATTGTATGAATGAATGAATTATTTTAAATGCGTAGCGTACAGATTAAAATGAATTTTCTTCAGGACCATAAAGATATTAATATTATTTGTTATTATTAGATTTAAAAGCATTGTGTGTAAATATAAAAGACATTTAGGCCTACTTACGTTAGTGTCCAGGTATAATGGAAGAGGGCGGCTATACTTCCAGACGAAGATTGCCACTCAAACGCAATGAGGGAAGTTGTTATGCGCAACTTTTTATTTGATTTGTTTTTATACTGTCACGTGACTGTTTTATGGGGCGTCTATACTTTTTTTTTCTAGAAAAAAACAACAACACATTCTAAGGATGGTTATCTTTCTGAGTAGAGGGGTGTTAAATTGGTGAGAAATAGGTGCTTGTTTTTTTTTCCTTTTGTGTGTTTTTCTTGTAAAATTTCGTCACTCTCTTCGTGGGTTGGTAGAAGAAAAATCATGGAGGAAAATCTTAGATATACACAATGCTGGAAAGCTAACTTATAACAAGAAAATTCTATGTAAAAAAAAAAAAAGAGGAAAATATATAGCATCGGGTTAGTAAGGAACGGAGATACGTTTGAAAATGTTTTGTTTGTTTGTAAAATGTTTTACATGTTTCGGATGTTCCTTCAGAGTTGAAGATAGTTTACGTCCTAGTTCAAACCTCCCGCAGGACGACGGGGGATGGGAGCGAGCAGGGTTTGAACCCTCGACCGTCGATAAATCCGAACGACAGTCCAGCGCGCAAACCGCCAGATATATGTGTCATATTAAATATAAAAAACTTAATGTACACATCTGACAGAAAAGACAAACACAAAACATTAGAAGAAATGGAATGCAATAACAAAAATCACGAGCACCATAAGAACTGGGTGGCGGTGGGGGATTAAAGGCTTTAGATTCTGCCTTAATTCAATCCTATAACAAGCTACTCATAGGAATGATTCTCTTGTTATAAACCTCTTCACTCATATAACATTGCGTGTGCTTATTGATCCTGCATGTGTCGATTTATTTTTTTCACATTAACAAACATGCAGGCCAATTAGGAGTGACGATGAATCCTCCCGCTTATGGCGCCCCTCCCCCACAAGGGCATTACCCTCAGATGGAGCCACAGCCACATCCCAACGCCTGGGTGAGTGTTGCTTTTGTTTTTTTTCCTTTTTCATATTTTTTTAATAAATAAAATATTAATTATAATGTGGTATATAATGTATGACCCTAATTGGTGGCTGAGTGGTTAAGCGTATGGCTTCTAAACCTGGGGTCATTGGTTTGAATGTAGGTGAAGAAAAGGATTTTGAATTTGGGGATTTTTAGGGCGCCCCTGAGTCCACCCAACCGCAAAGGGCACCTGACCCAGTTGGAGAAATGAAAGGCGATTGGTTGTTGGGCTGGCGACATGACACCCCTCCCCATTCTATTTCCTTAGAAAGCAAATTAGGATTTTAAAATAAATTGTTCATATTTTCTTAGAGAACTCATTAGGAGTTTAAAAAATTGTTTATATTTTTTTGGAAATATAATTGGGAATGTCTAACATTTTTATATCTTCTTAGACATCTAATTAGGACTTTGCAATTTGGTCAAATTTCCTTAGGCAGCTCATTAGGAGTTTAAAATTTGTTCATATTTCCTTAAACAACTTATTAGGAGTTTAGCACTTGTTCATATTTCCTTAAACAAATAATTAAGAGTTTAGATCTTTCCTTAGACAGCTCATAAGGAGTTTGCAATTTGAGTCCACCTAACTCCTAACGGGTACCCGACCTAGTACTGGATCAGCTTTTTTTTTTTTCTTTAGTTGGCCAAAAAGAAACGGATGACTTTAACATCATTTGCCCTACAGATCGCAAGCTCTGAAAAGGGAACATTGACATTGCTTACCTTATCGAAAAGATCTCCAATATATTTTAAAAAAGGATTTTTTTTTTCACTCATTTTAACGCTTCACGATCGAGTTTCAAACATGTTCCGCTTGTAGGACCATGCAAATGTAATAACTTCGTTGGAAATTGTGACCAATTAACGTTGGCGTATTTAACATTGTATTAGAAGTCGGCTTTATTCTCTAAAAGACTTCCGCTTCTTAAGTTCATACTTTTTACCTTGACCTTGAAAACTACTTCCTTCTTTTTCTTTTTGAAATTCCTACTTGACGTATCGTATTGCTTTAAAAAAAATGCAATGAGGATCTTGAAAGATCCAAATGTAGGCCGAAAAAAGATTTGTGTGATTCATCTTCTGTGAGAATACCACGGGGAAGTGGTGGGCGAGGGTATAGAGCCCCTATGCCGGTCAAGTCACCCT